CAAAGTTTATTATATATTTGCTTTTAACATAATTATTAAAGTAAAGACAAACTAATTCAGATCACTAAAACCAGTACTGTTGATTTAAGTTTGTACAACTTAATGCTGTGAAGTTAAATTTAACAGATGCTTATAAGGGCAATTATGCAAATTTTGTTTAATTTAACTAATATTAGGGAGATTTTATTTATTTTACTGGATTTCCTTGATGGAATTTTGTAGCGAAGCTGCAGTTTAACAATGGATTAATGGAACCTGCTGCAACATCTACATTTTTTTTTAGTTTCCTTTTATTAAATATATCAGAATTTACCAACTCATCCTGGAAAATATCAGGAAGTCAACGTTCTTGTGAATGGCTAAAAAAGTTACCCAATTTATTGGAAAGCTTATTGAAAAATAAAGCATTTGTGCATGGAGTCACGTCAGATGAGAACAATCCATACACGAATGCAGTAAGTTCAAAGACCACTGGTATATTATAAATCAAAATATAATTGTGTATGCATCACAAATACTTTTGTAAATCTTGTCATGTGAATGTATACATTTCATTTGTGCATGTTTGATTTATTATGTGCATGTGTGGATTTTCTCCTGTACTTATGTGGATCACAAATGTGAGTTTGTGGAAATATCTGAAGTACTGTGTAAGATTATAATAGAAATATGTTATCAACATACTAATGTAACAGGGTCTGGGTGTCAATTTTAAAAGCTCAAGTAAATATGAAGCATCTAATTTTAATTTTACTGGAATGTCTTTTGTGACACATTTCTAACCAGTTGTAGACAGAGGCTTTAAAAGAAAGATGACATAAAAACCAGGTTTATAATGTCTGAAATGTCTGCTAGGGGAGACGGGAGAGGAGAAATTCACAGCCGAGCCTTTTCAAAAGTCACAATGATGTTTTTGCTCCTTAAGACTCTGAAAATGACCAGATTTACAGCCCTGCTTTCTTGCATTTTCGATCCATCATTATATGTGACAAGATATTTGAGTTTCATATATGTCATCACTTTTGAGTTAAAAGAAAAGTTAATGTTTGTTTTTTATATGAAATAAATTAGAGTGATATTATAGCAACAGAGCAGCATGTTTTATGTAAATAAGTTTCGGTCATGTAGCTGCAATTGCTGCTGATGTGACCATCAAGAAAAATTTTATTTGAATATTTTTGTTAGTCTATCACAGATCATTTTTAAGATATTCAAACAAACATGCATACATGTATGTGTTGATCTTTCAGTGCATTTGTGATGCAGAAACATTTCTGTGGAAACCAGCTGTGAGAGAGAGAGCAAACTGCCTGGTCCGCCTCAGGAAAAAGTGTGTCATCTTGTTTATTTTCCTTTGGTTTGCTGTCTTTTTCCAGCCCATAGGGTGCGATAATAATAAAAAAAATACTGCGGCGTCCAACATCTCCCGCCGGACTAGCCCACATAAAATCCTGTAGGGACCACAAGGCCCTTAACAGCAACCTTTCTACTGTGAGGAGGAGGAAGAGGAGGAAGCTATATGGTGTGTGTTAATGCTCCCTCCCTCATGTGTTTGTGCAGATTTTGGCTCAGATTATGTACACAAACACAAATTAAGTCATACCCTCATCCCTGGTGGGTTCCTGTGTCCCAGAGGTGCCACTGGCAGTCGGTTCTGGCAACCCGCCTTCAATTCTGCTACTTTCCACCTCACATCCCTGCAAACTTTCCCCTTGTCTTTTTCTCCATGGTCCCCAATCTATCCTCTCTCTGTTTTTCTCCATCTTCTGCCTGATGTGCCTCTACTAAGACTGAATAATATTTGGACAGGTGTTCTCTCATATACATTCACTTCAAGGGGTTCTGGTGTGCTGTTTCTCTGGCGTTCCTTGCAGAGAAAACAAAGCAGCAGATCCTGGCGGCTGGACTACATGCACTGCAGTCCATGGTGGATTTGTAATCCCCAACAATAAAAAACTGTTTAGCACCAATTTTCCTTTACTTTTAAGACCTTCTCCCCCCCCCCCCCCCCCCCCCCCCCCCCCCACTGTTTGAGACAAGAGGAGGCCACATCTGGAAGACAGATGTATTCCCATTCACTCTCTCTCTCTCTCTCCTTTCCCTCCCTTCACTCTCTTTCTGGGGGAAACATGAGAGCTGAGCTAATTCTCTCCCTCCCGCCCGGGCTGGACCACCCACATTCGGAAACGCCTAGCTGTTCCTGAGGCAGAGGCCGCCCGGCAGCTCGCAGAGGCCCAGAGCGAACAACAGAGATGTAAGGATGGGTTGTGACGGACGGTTTTAGCAGAGTATCAATTACGTCAGTGTCAAGGCTGTAAGTCATCCCTATGGAAGCAGGGGGGAGGGGGGGGGGTCTGGGAGGCAGCAGGGATACATTTGTTCACTTTATTCTAAAGCATGAAAGAGTTTATGGGTTTTTAAAAAAAATGACCTTTATTCTGGGCTTAATGCTCAGAGTAAAAAAAGGACAGAGAAAACTGACAAGATGTTGATACAACTGCTGTTTTTATTTGCTTGGTAAGCAGGAAACAATTAACAGTGAACTCCTACAAAAAGATCAACATTGCCACCTTGTGGATCTTAAAGTATATCTTAAAGTGTCTTGAGGGAGTTTTCATTCACACGCCTATAACTATGATTTTCACACATCACAAACACAAATTGCAGCAAAGCTGTAGTGTGGAAGAGGAAGGGATGCATGCCTTCTGAACGTGTTGGACTAATAAAATCTGGAAAATGTTGCGTGTGTTTTGACCACATTTGGAAGAATGTCGTCCAGGTAATTTAGGGGAGAACTTGCAGGTGTGTAAGCAGATCATTGGTGCAAATGCGCTGTAGTCCAGCAGCTCTGCCCAAATCATGATACACCTCCCATAGAAACAGAAAAGCGATGCTCAGTTAAGGAGTAAATTTTGTTCCTTTGTTATTGGAAGCCAATAACACATTTTTTTTAACGGATAATGGATTTTTCGTTCATTCTATAAAGCCTCGAACAACGCTATTCCTGACATTTTGACTTGAAAAAGCTTCCTGGATGGGAAGCGAAACATCTTCAAACTTGGAAACAAAGTCTAGTGGATAGTTTGTTTGTTTTTTTACTTTTTTGGAGTGACTATGACCCAAATGGCTGAGAATCTTCACCAGCAATGGATATTGGGGGGACATTTTGCAAATTAATATTTGAAAAAAGAAATGCAATCCAAAAAATAAACCTAAAACATTTTAATAAATTGAAAAAAGGGGATTTTTTGAGAGAAACTTTGCTGTTCTCTCAGATTTGGTTATTTCAATTTTTTTTCAAATATATTTTTTCCAGATTTAATATTTAGATATACATCTTTTATTTATATATTTTATATATATATATATTTTTTTTTTAATATGTTTTATATTTTACCTTCCTGAGGTTCGCTAACTATTACCGTACATCAGAGGCGTCAAGTAACAAAGTACTTAAGTACACTTTTTAGGTATCTATACTTTACTCCATTACTTATTTTTCTTCCTACTTCTGACTTCTACTTATTACATTTTCACACAAGTATCTGTACTTTCTATTGCTGAAATTTTTAAAACAACCTTTACTCGTTACTCTTGGCTTCAGTTTAATGTTTATAAATATTTATTTCATGTCATGTGCGCCATCCAATGCTTTAACTTTATATTTTCCTTTTTATTATTTATTAATTTCCCAGATTCAGTTATATGAATTCTTCCTTTAAAACTGAGTTTCAGATCACATTCTCTTCACTTATAAACACAGTTGCTCTTAATGAGCGCTGTAAGTAAAGAAGGTTCAACAAGGCATCAACTCAGGGGAGCTAAAAAAAGAAACGCATCCAAATCCTTTTAAAATGTATGCATCATTTTCCTTCCAAAACCAAAACTATTAGATTTGTGTTTGTGATATCAAACAATATCAGGGTAAGAATACATTTTCCAATGTATTGAGTAAACAAAAAGTGATGTAAAAATGCAGTTTAAGGCACAGGGTTTTCCAGTGAAGGATTAATGACCAGCATCAGGAGACATTAGGCAAGTTCTAAACACAAAAAAAAACAACAGAAAATTATGGAAAAAATAATTAAAGTATAAGATCTTCTAAACCCAGCTTAGCTTGAGAAACCCATCAGTGGATCGGCATGCATTTATCATTTCCAAATGAACGGCAATATTTTGTCATCTAGCATCCGCTCCAAAGATTAAATTACATCATCGCAAAACCACAAATATCCAGAGCTGAGCAACTTCTTTGAACTGATGCATACTTAAAAACCTGTTTAAATAGCCGCAAAATGAATCAGACATCAATGAGAAGAATGCAAGAGGAAAGCACGTTTTCCCTTTAGTATGCACTTTTTTTTAATGTCACATGATGTGATAGTCATTAGAGAAGTAAAGCCAGTGTTTACATGTTGGAGTGTTTGGATCATATCAGGAAAACACAGAACTTGTTCTTTTAAAGAAAAAAAAAGCTTTTCTCCAGATTTATCGGAGATTGGATAACTACATTTATTAAAGAAGAAGGACACTGCACAGGAAAGCTTAAAAAAATGAAGGCATTTCAAACAAATCCCAGCCGAAAAGATTAAAGCTAATAATCCTATTTATATGGTTCAGCACTAAGCTGCAGAGGAAGAAAACAACAGATTAATTACGTTTTTGGTCATTTAGCAGTGATTGGAGAAATTGTAGTGCATGTTTGGATAAATAGACTTTTAAAAGTTGGATATTCCTTTGCAAATATGACCCAAAATGCTGAGATATTTAAGTTTAAATAAAAATAAAAATATACCAGTTATAATAAGACAAAATGATTATACTTGGTTCACTTATTGTTTAGGGACAATGAGCCAGTTTTACAGAGACTTTGAGATTTCAGACCCCTTCAGCTCACACACTTAAACCCAAAGAAGTGAATAATCACAAAGTTACCAAAGCAAATCCAAAGTAGGGCAGCAACTAGTTATTATTTTGCTAACAGAATAATCTGTCGATTATTTTTTTTATTAATCTATGAGTCATTGGAAGGCAAAAGGTGCCTTTAAAAAGATTTTTTACAGAATTTAAACCAATTCAAACTAAAATGACACTTAAGGAGTTCTAGACAAAAGGTTTTTGATCTTGAATGCAAACTATTTATATGGATTTTTGTATGCTCATCATTTTACTTATCCGCCCTAGAAGTAAAACTTCAAGGACATTTTTTCACAATTATTTCCATGAGGTTGCAGTTTATTTGTTTCAGGAGAATCAATCATGTGGTATCTTTTTGGTCACGTGACAGTAGGTTTTAAAAATGAAGTACAGAAGCAAAGTCAACAATTGGTCCTTTCCGACTAAAGTCTAAAAGGGAAATATGTAATACATGACATCAGTAGATACCAGTTATCAGCCATAAGAGGTCTTTGAAATCAGAATCCGCCCAGAGGTTCATATCAGTGTTTCCCTAGTTGGGGTTATGACTTTTCCCTTTGGTGGTACAGCAGTAGTGTTTGATTTGAGGAGGTTGTATTATCTCTTAAAGTCGTATTTGTGTTTGTGGGGTTCTGAGTGTGACCAGCAACAGATTTACTGCAAAATAAAAGCTTCCGAATTTAATTGCATTCTTTATCCTCATTTTAATTACACAAAACAACAAGTATGATGAATAAGGCTTTTTAAGAAGCTTATACAGTCCTATTGTTACAAATAATTTGAAATTTTTCAAATTAATATTATTCATTTATATATCAAATAGTAAAAAAACATATCCGGGATAATTCTTTTTATTTTTTTTTATCAGCGGCTTGATCAACTACTTGGAAAATTTGCTCTCCCACCAATTTGCTCTCCTTTTAGCATAAAAATTTTTCAAATGAATTGTTCCTAGATATTTTCCTACATTAATTAATATATAATCCCGAAAATGTTGCTTCATCAAATGATGGATCCTGTCCAAATCCTGACACTTCCTCCACTGTGCTTCCTCTATGATTACAGTGATCTACCTCTCCCAGGTATTATCTGATGAGAAAACACATTTTAGGTCATATTTATGCAGAAATACTATCAAGCATCACACTAAAACTGAATCTTTTAAAGTTTTTTTCCCAGTGACAAAGAGATATAAAGGTGCAAATATTTGTCATTTAGTTTTTTCTGTTTTCCTTCTGTTCACTTCTGTAGCCACAGACCCTACGGTGGCCCCAACCGTGCCCCCCATCGGCCCTCCTACAAATAGCCCCACAAGGGCCCCGAACAGAGCCTCGATTCTAACGAGGGAGGGCAGCCACCGGAACCAGCCCACCAGCTTCTCCCATAAGCCCCCCAGCCATGATGGAGAAGCCGAGGAAGGAGAGACCTGTTTACCGGAGGGGAAAATACCACCTAGATCCAAATCCAGATCCCCAACGCTCTTCTCTGCCTCCTCCCTAACTGCATCCATTTCTTCTTTAGTCACTTCTGGCTGGGAGTCAGAGGGCTCTTCCTCCCTCCTCTGCCTTATGATCTCCATCTGCCGCTGCCTCACCCTGCCCTCAGCCTCCTGGTAGAGAGGGCAGCTGAAGCACTTGCTTCCACTCTCCTTCACCGCCTGCTCCACCTTCTCCAGCAGCTCCTCCACAGCTTTCCCTTCTTCTCCGCCTGGCTTGCAGCTCTCCAGGGTATGGTAACGATCGCCACACCTCCCCACCAGCTCCTGGAGGTCTTTCCGCCATGTGATGATGTACTGCTCCAGTGTCTCATCCTCTCCCAGCTCCTCAGTGTGGGTGAAGAGAACAATGGTGTTTTTGCTGACTGCATCAGGGCCAAACAGCTTAGCGAGGGCATCGAGCGCCTTGGATTCATCGTGAGCACGCCCGTTCACCGGGACACAGAGCAGGAAGGCATGTGGTCCAGGGCTGGATAAAGCGATGAAGGATGAAATATGCATTGTCCGTTCCTCTGGGCTGCAGGCTGAGCCGTACCAGGCTGGACTGGAGACCACCTCGACCTGCAAGAGACCCAGTTACAGCCTAAATGATCAAAGCAAGCAGATCCCTGTATCCAGTTATATTCACGTTTCCACAGCCCTTTTCTCACGTATATGTGCAAATAAAGAGTGTAAATGTGTGTAGTGTCATTGTGACAGCTTTTGGTGTAACCAGTAGTTGTGCTGAAAGGCGCTGGAGCCTGGGGAAGGGAGCCCTGTTGCGAAGGAGTCTGATATGAAGGAGAACATTCAAACCGCCTTACTGTAGCTGCATGCTTATGATCATCTTCCTGCTTGTCTTTTGCAGAGTATAACATGTTTCTTCAAAGGTCTGGCTTGTGTTTAGTTTCATAAGTCGCCCCAGACCCACAGTATGATACAGCCACCTCCATGTTCACTAGCAATGTTCCAATACCATTTTTTCTCTCCCGATACCATTCCGATGCTTGTGTTGTGAGTATCAGGTGTCAGGTGAGCAGCTCTTCAACCATCTAAACCAGCAGGTGGCAGCCCAGCTCCACTTTTTTAAGAAAGGCGAAGAACTAACGTAACTAACCAGTAAATATATTCCTATCTTAATTCGTATATTAAATTACATAGTATCAGAAAGGTGCCTGAACTCCAATACTAGCTGATCCAGATGCAGATTCCAGCATTTTTGCCAGTATCAGAGACATCTCCGATACTGGCATTGAAACAACTATTATTCACCATTAGAACTACAGATTAAGGCTGGTGGCTGTGTTAGCTTTCTGTAATCCGTACTATGTTTAACACAGGTTAAAAATTTTTATTTTAATCTGACCAGAAATCCATAAATTACTGATTAATTCCTTATCACTAACCTGTCTGCTGTCTTTTCTGGTCTTCATAAGGCTGTTTGTTCTCTAATGTTATTCATTTATGATAGCATTTGCTGATTTTATTAAGGGGTATTAGATGTGGCCAAAAGGCCAAAACGATGGCCAGACAATCATTTATTGTTTTATCTAAGTCATTTTTTTCTTGAAAATAATATTTTCTTTTGATTTGAGCACGTACGAGAATTTGCCAATGGATTAAGAAGATTTAGGTTTTAAATAAGAAAAACAAACAACTCAATCACTACTTTTCGCTCCCCTTTGGTCAAGTGACTCTGGCTCCCGGCACGGTGCCGGCGCCATGCTTGTTCTTTCTCTCTCCAAAACACATCCCATTCTCGAATGTATCTGCTCATCTAGTAACCATGGTTACACACTACTTCTAAAGGTGCACTATATAGTGCTCTATATAGGGGTTAGGGAATTCTAGGCAAAATCCATTCCATACCCTTCAGTTTTTTTGAATTTTTTTATCAAATCAAAGTTAAAAAAAAATTTGCATTGAAGTCTTTGATTGTAATGTATAAAAAATGTGAAATAATAAAACATATTCTATAACAGGCATATAGTCGCTAGAAAACACTAAAACTAATAGGATACAACTACTAAAAGTAGATACATGGGCAGTCCTAGACAGGGGCCCGGGCCCCTGTACTCAAATCATTAACTGCAAAAATGTAAATATAAGTCAGGTTTTCCTGATATAGGTGCATTTACTCTTGTGAGGAGGTGAGTGAGAAAAGGTACCAATGAAAAAGGATGATTTAAGTGTAAAATAAGAAAAGAAATCTCTGATATCATATCTCAAGTGGAGAATAACAGGTTATCGTGTTTTGAGAGTAAAAATGCTTATTAATTTGACAGATCATCTCAATTAAGGTAAAATCGATATATTTTAAGATATTTTTTCTTCATTAGTTTTTGAAGTATAATACTATATGAATTTCTTAAGACGATATGCGTCAACAGAAGAGAGCATAACCGATTCGCCCCTTGGACCAATTTATAAATTCACCTTTAAAATTTACTTTAACAATTATTTAGAAATTAAAAAAAGACTTAAGCTTCACCCGTATGAACAAACGGTCATGGTTTTCATTTGTTAGATCAGGAATCTGCAACCTTCTGGATCACCTTACATACTAAATGTAATAAATACTCTGTTGTAATGTGTCCTCCACTGGAAAAACACTGGCTCCACCCTATGGAAGCAAATCCTTACCATATTTCAAATGAAAAAGCCTTCCCAGAAATGCTTTTTCATTTTAAGAATGTGGCTGCATTGTTTGACTCATAAATGAAATTAGTAATCAATCATCCTGTTTGCATTTTCATTTTCTTCTTTAACACTACTCATCCTTTTACTTAATTATAATGAAAAAGAAAGACATTTGAGATTTATTTTTCAAAATGTACCCCAGCAAATACATACCAAAAGTCAATTTGAAATGTAAAATGTGAAAATGAAAAAGCATTTCCAGAAATGCTTTTTCATTTTAAGAATGTGGCTGCATTATTTGGCTCATAAATGAAATTAGTAATGAATCATCCTATTTGCATTTGCACTTTTCTTCTTTAAGACGTCACATTTTATGCCATAATCAAAGAGAAAACACAGCGGAGTAAAAGGTTGAGCAGTGTTAAAGAAGAAAATGAAAATGCAAACAGGATTATTGACTACTAATTCCTTTTATGAGTCAAACAATGCAGCCACATTCTTAAAATGAAAAAGCATTTCTGGAAATGCTTTTTCATTTTCACATTTTACATTTCAAATTGACTTTTGGTATGTATTTGCTGGGGTACATTTTGAAAAATAAATCTCAAATGTCTTTCTTTTTCATTATAATTAAGTAAAAGGATGAGTAGTGTTAAAGAAGAAAATGAAAATGCAAACAGGATTATTGACTACTAATTCCTTTTATGAGTCAAACAATGCAGCCACATTCTTAAAATGAAAAAGCATTTCTGGAAATGGTAACGATTTGCTTCCATACCACCCTGGTAAGTTTAATCTAAAACCACCAGTGAGCAGATACATATAAATTATTAAGACATGTTGAAATGCACTTATGCTTTCAGTGAGGTGTAAGTCTCCATATAATCCTACCCGCCTGCCTGCAGCTGTCCCTCTATGTTTGCTGCAGTCCTGAACATCTGTGCCCTGTTGGTTGTCTTCCAGGCCCAGGGTGAAGCGGATTGCACCTCTCTCCTCTGCCTTATCCGGGCCCAGAACCACCAGGATAAGCTCTGCAAGGAAAAGGCGACACAGATGCGTCATCTTACAGTGTTGTTGTATCATAGTGCATGAACTCAGCAAAGTTTGTCCAACTGTCTTCCTCCGTGCAGACAGATAATAACAGCAGATAATCTGTTGTTTAGTTTGCGCTCGGTTGGTTCCTGCAGAGCCCATGTGTGCAGCCGTGTGTGTCAGCAGCTCCTTTGCTCAGAATCAGGGGGAACTTTTCCAAGAAGAGGCGGCGGCCCTTTGCAGCTGCTGCCGGGGCCGCAGCTTCCCTCAGACTGACAGCGGAAAGCTGCAGCATAACCCACCCACTCCTCCGCCATTATTATATTCCTTAATAAAAGTAATATTACTATAATACTTCACTGCTGCTGTACTGCGAGAAACAACAGGGCGCTGTGTCTTACCGGACTGTGAGCTGGATGCTGCCATCTCTGCCTCTGCTGTCAGATCAGACTTCCTGATTCCTACAGGCTGACTCAGGCCTGGCAGACTGGGAAACAGCGCCCTCTGCTGATGAAACCGGAGCTCTGCTGATCACTAACCATTGAGCATTAATAACTGGTGATGAGAAACTTCCAGAAACTTTTGATAAAGGCTGTTCATGGTCCATATTTTCCAAATAAATCCCTAAAGACAGAGCAGATTTTCACAAGGACTGTTTTTAATTAATAAAGCTATGCACATATTTATACATGGGTGCTGGTAAATTAATCTATGGTTCTACATTATATACACATTAAATGGGTTAAGTTGTTGTTCTTTAACTCTAATTACACTGAAGACTCCTAGATGGCTGCAAAGAAATGTTCTCTGGGCGGGTCTAGACAGGGGCCAACGGGGGGCAGTGCCCCTGTCAATCATGATCTGGCCCCTGTTATGGCCCCTGTACTGAACAGAGGCGTAGCCAGAACATTTTTATAAGGGTGGCCAGGCAATAACTAATGTACACTGAAGGGTGGCGAAAAGCGGATAAGCACCAGAACCTCAGGGTCAATCTACACTGTTCCAACAGGAAAATTAATGAGCAAAACATCCAGATTTTCTAAATAAAGACAAACTATACTTTCCTAAAGCCTTTGCTAACAAGTAGACGCCTCACTTTCTAAACAAAAGGTATAGTGGATACAATTATTTCAGTTTTGAGATCTGGGGCGTAAATCTATTCCATCATCATTACTTACCTACTTGTATCAATAAACATTCTGGATAAAATTGATATTTACAAGCACTAATATCTACATAGATTGATTATTTGATAATTTTTCATTAAAATTGTAATTTATCTTTGATTTCACTGAAGACTCCCAGATGACTTGCAGAGATACATTTTCTCTTTACCCCATATAAACACAAAATCTAGTTCTGAGAACAGCATGAAATCTGTATTTATCATCTTTGATGTTAGTATATAGATGTGTATAATTAACCACAAAAATTTTAAATGTTTTGGATATTCCACTTGAGAGTATCACTGCTGCCACCATCTGTATTAGATTTAAAAAATGGTAGGGGTGGCTAATGAATGGGTAAGGGTGGCCATTGATTCCCCTGGCCCCCCATCTAGCTCCGTCCCTGGTACTGAAGACATAATACTCAAAGAAATTCTAATGATATATGTTACTGATAGGTCCTTCGGATCTGTTTAATTTTTTTCTGTACAAATTCTGTTTTACTGATTATTTAGAAACAATAGGGTGATAGCTTCAGTGGTATTTAGATAGGATCCCAGAAAAAAAATAATAAAAAAAATAATTTTTACAGCTGAATTTATCAGTTGTTCTTGAGTTCTAATTCAGATTTTATAGAATATGTTAATTTTAACGTAAATTAAATCAAAAATATGTAAAATTCCTAAATTATGAATGTATATTGACCTAATTGGTACATTTGGTCTAGAACCACCACTGAGAGACAAACTCAAACTCCCTATAACACATCAAAATGTTTTCCTAAATCAGTAGGAATTCTGTCAATCTTCTTTATTTGCAGTAGAATGTTGTGAATAATCATTTGCTTTATATTTGAAAGTTAAACCTGTTTTATACCAGTTGCATCCTATTTTTTATATCTCTGATCTGCAATTTTTTTTTCTGCTGCATCCTCTGAAACCAGAACAGATAAAACATTTGTATATGTTAATACAATGAGACCTATGTTTAAAGGAAAAACAAAATATGAACTAGTTATTAAAAAAGCATGGATTCTGTATTTATAATTTTTAATGTTAGTATACTGATTTGCTTCATTTACTGTATTTTTGTTGTCAGTTTATTGAAATATACAAACAAGTAAAATGGAAAATGGGTTAGAACTTTCCACTTAAGAGTAAAATGTTGCATCTTCTGTTTTAGAGGGGAACTGCCTCTAAATTATGATCAGGTTGACCACAGGGATGGCCAATGATCGGCTAAGGGTCTAGCCTCTAGTACTTGTCCTGAAAGGAACTGACAGGGATCAGTCTTTAATTTTCTTTTTCACTATTTAAATCAATAGTATTTCACTAAAGATTGGTTATAAATTAAATCGTTATGCTGATGATACTGCAGTTTATTCCTCGCGACTCTTTGGATTCCACAACTAAATAACCTACATGTAAGTTTTCATCTATCTAAAAAAAACTTCATTTCAAATTTCTTCTGAGCTGCTTTAGGGAAAGCTCTTTATTTATGCACTGCATAAAAAAGTAAATGTAAAGAATGAACAAATCCAATTGCAAAAACAGTAACAGAGAGTCTAAGCACCTGGATTCATGATAAATGTATTACTGGGGATAGCATAGCAGATATGCCACACCCCCAATTTTTTATTTTTTTTTTTGTCATGTATATTTCTTTACAGAAAATAATTTTATTAAAGTTCAGATTAGCATTTTCTAGAATGCTGGTTATCATTTTACCCATTCACAATTATGAGTCACTTTATGCTTTTCAAAGATTCATACAAAGCTGAGAAGATCTGGAAAAACATGCAGTAACACTTTAAACAAATAATTTTTCAATACACATCATGGTGACTCTTTGTGTCTTTGTCCTAATTTTTGATTGTATTTGGTTCAACCTAAATGGGCTTTCAGTGGATTAAATAAAACATATTTAGCTGACTCTATAGAGTACGGCGTAAGAATGAGAGTGGAAAGTTTAGTGGAAGGAAAAAGCATGACGAGAAAACGCAAAATAACAAGGATAACAGCAGCCTTGAGATTAGAGTAAAGCAATCCCATTATAGTTACAGGATGATAGATGAGGAACTAACTGTGGCTGTCATCAAAATATTTTTGAAGCAAACACACAAAGACATATCCAGAGCTTTGGCCAAGACCGTTATGTTACTGATGTTAATCCATTTATTTCTGAACCAGGATTAGAGACATCTTTCCTAGTCTAGTAAACTAGCCCCACCCGCCTGCGGTCAAAATAAATTTTGGCTGGGAGTGGTCCAGCCTTGATCAATGCCCCAGGCCCTAGAACCGGCTGGCCAATCACAACGCAGAGATGTGTTTTGAGGGCGTGACGACAAAGCTGAGCGACGCTGGAGAAAGCACAAGGAAGATGGCAACAACTATTGAACAGTTCTCGTTAGACTCAGCTTTAGAATGTTTAGGAAGGATTAGACTTTGGGTTTTCCTCTACGCTCATTTATTTTTAAGGATGTATTCGCCATTTTACTGACAAGCTGTTAGTTTACCCTCCCCCACCAGCTTTCTGTCGCGCTTACTAGTCAGTTGCACCCATTGGTAAGAGCGTTGGCCAATAAAAACAGAAATGGTTCGATAAACAACGGGTTGTTCTCATCAACAATCTTCTGATGTCTCATTCATCGGGGCCAGACTAAATTACACATTTAATCTCACATTTAGTCTGGTTTATCAGGCTACATCTCTCCTGGACTAATATAAAAAATCCCAAAGCTGTTACTAAGTGATTCAAAGATATTTTTTTTTCCACATGAAAGTCAAAGTCCAAGAGTCTGGAGGAAGACTAGGGGAACAGAAGCAATGCAGTTATTCTTTATATAAGAAAAAACATTTAAGAATAAAGTCTGGGATTTAAATTTGCTGTAGGCCATAATCATCTTAATTTACTTAAATTAACACATAATAAACATCCCATTTAAATATAATAAACATAATAAATGTATTCCATTCACTTTCTGAGCAAATCATTAAAATTAAATAACCTTTATGTTTTGGATATGTCAATAACTGGAAACTGCAACAACTGTCTTTGCAAACAGTTTAATGTTGCCTTCTTGATCAGTTTTTAACTGAAATTCCTTGAAGCGTTCTTCATTTCCATGAGTTTACACCAACAGTTGGGTTTTGTCCAACATTTCCTAAAAGTCTAAACACATTAAAAATGTAAAACGCTGCACACACTTTAAAAGGAAAGCCGTATAAAACAAGTACTTTAAACATGGTAAATAATTACATGAGAAATATTTCCTGGATTGACAAGCGCATGATACAACTGTTTAAATTTTCACACGTTTAAGTAAAAAAAACCTAATTAAGACAACAAACATACAATTCAAGTTGCTCGTTGTTTGTAAACAAAGCACATTCCAGCATTCAACCACTCACCAAACAGACAGCTGTACAGCAACATGTACAATAAAATGACTTATTTTAAAAATGGGAACTACAAAAATGGGAGACATTATTTAAAAAATACACTTTAAAAACATGTTGAAACTAGAAAACGTTGAGATCTTCAAATGACAAGCAGAGGCTCTAGTTCGGCTACAAGGATCCACCCAGGATCGGACCCTTCCTGTCAGTTCTGCTGCTTATGAAGCCTCAGTTCCCCATTTCAGGATCCTCATAGTCCGGGCATGATGTAGGCGATGTTGTCCAACGTGTTTGACTGACAAAAAAAAAAAAAAAGATATAAATAAACACTTTAAAGGAAACAGCAAGTGTAGAGAATGCAATGCTTTTAAATTGGGTGCATTTAGCAACTATTTATCCTACCAGACCTTTCTAACATTATAATAACAAACATCTCTGCTTTATTGGAATTCTATGTTTAAAGTAGATCAGAAATGTCCAGAAGAAGTAAAATGAATTAATTTTAAACATTTTTGGCTAATAGAAGATTGAATAATGTGGTAAACTGAGCCACATTTAATCTAGAATTCTTAAATAAAACTTACAACTAGTAACCTTAAAAAATACTCTTACTTTTAAATAAAGTTACCCTTTGTCTGATTTAAGTTCACCTGTGGAGGAACCATAAATCTGCCAAAACATGTCCTATAAAGCCTCTTTCCCATTGAAATTAGAGGGTTAACATGTGTTTTTCAAACATGGGTCGACTTGCTAACAATCGACATTTGGCTCCCTTCCCATTAGCAAAAAAAAATTCTGGGTCGGACTCCCTGCTGCCAAGCTGTTTGGTGTCTGTCCCCCCACGGCTGCGTGTCTGGTGACACCTTCACGCCACGTTATTGTTGATGATGTCATCAGTGCAACAGAAATCAGAAAAGTAAACAATGGAGAATATATGTAA